GCCAGCTCGGTGACACCAATGCCATCTCGGTGACACCAATGCCATCTCGGTGACACAAACGCCAGCTCGGTGACACCAATGCCAGCTCGGTGACACCAATGCCAGCTCAGTGACACAAATGCCAGCTTGGTGACACCAATGCCAGCTCGGTGACACAGATACCAGCTCGGTGACACAAATGCCAGCTCGGTGACACTAATACCATCTCGGTGACACCAATGCCATCTCGGTGACACAGATGCCAGCTGGGTGACACAGATGCCATCTGGGTGACACAGATGTCATCTCGGTGACACAGATGCCAGCTGGGTGACACCAATGCCATCTCGGTGACACAGATGCCATCTCGGTGACACAAATGCCAGCTCGGTGACACAGATGCCATCTCGGTGACACAAATGCCAGCTCGGTGACACCAATGCCATCTCGGTGACACAAACGCCAGCTCGGTGACACCAATGCCATCTCGGTGACACAAACGCCAGCTCGGTGACACCAATGCCATCTCGGTGACACCAATCCCAGCTCGGTGACACCAATGCCATCTCGGTGACACAAATGCTGTCTCTGTGACACAAATGCCATCTCGGTGACACAAACGCCAGCTCGGTGACACCAATGCCATCTTGGTGACACCAATCCCAGCTCGGTGACACCAATGCCGTCTCTGTGACACAAATGCCAGCTCGGTGACACAGATGCCATCTCGGTGACACCAATGCCATCTCGGTGACACAGATGCCATCTCGGTGACACAAATGCCAGCTCGGTGACACCAATGCCATCTCGGTGACACCAATGCCAGCTCGGTGACACCAATGCCATCTCGGTGACACAGATGCCATCTCGGTGACACTGATGCCATCTCGGTGACACAAATGCCAGCTCGGTGACACAAACGCCATCTCAGTGACACAAATGCCATCTCGGTGACACCAATGCCATCTCGGTGACACAAACGCCAGCTCGGTGACACCAATGCCATCTCGGTGACACAAATGCCAGCTCGGTGACACGGAACTGTCCCCCCGGGCGGTCACTCACGGTCATCATGCCATCGAGCAGCCCGGTCTCGGGTTTGGGGGGCGCCTGCAGCCGCTCCATGGACCATTTCTCCACCACGGCSGCCACCTGGGGACTGTCGATGTTGAGCAGCCGAAATCCCGTCATGTTGACCCCGCTGTACCTGTAGGGCTCCAGGTCCAGGGCGAACAGGTCCTACAGCACCGCCGGGGACACAAAAGTGGCGTTTGCAAAGGMAAATGTGGGGTTTTACCCCGCCCTGAGCATCCCCTGGGCGCTCCCGTTGGAAGTTTCACTGAACCAAAGCTGAGTGACAAACACGGGGCTGCTTTTGGGAACGAAAAGATGGGCACCCCATGGCACAAATGCTGTGCAAAAAACCTGCACTGCTCCATTTACAGCAGCAAATT